TCCTGTGGGCAGCAACCAGCTCCTGGCTGCCGTGTCCCTAAGGGAGCAGGGCCACCGTCCCAGGGGACATCTTGCCCTGGATAACCTCGCAGGTGACACAGGACCACGGGGAAGGGTCACCAGGGGATCAGGGCGGTCACTACTGGGATGCTGGGGGTGTGGATGCTGCTCCCTCCCTGCTCCTTTTAGCACACAACTGATAATTTAACCTGCTCCAGAGCCTGGTCCTAAAGAAGGTGGCTGGGTTTGAGGGGGGCGTGTGCATGGGGTAGACCTGGCCCTGGACAGTGCCGGTGGGGGGCTGCAGGCTTGGTCACGGCTCTCCAGCTGCAGCCCCACGGGGTGAGCCTGGCCTGCCCCTCAGTCCGTTTTCCACACTTTGTTGAGGAACTTGACCACCTCGTCGTAGATAACGAAGACAATGGCCACGTCGAGGCAGACGCGGCCCAGGCGAGGCACCGTGCCCTTGTAAAACCTGCAGGGATAGAGGGGGTCATGGGACTGGACTGTAGTTGCAGCCCCCTCCCCATTCATCTTTTCCCCCCAGCCACTCCCCATGCCCCCCACTAGGGCTGACCCCGCTGCCACCCCTCGCCCACCCCCAACGCAGGACTTACGCCAGGGGCCCTTCATATTTCATGATCTGGTAGGCGCAGTCCCAGGTGCTCTTGTACTTGTGCGCTTCCAGGCCCTGTGGGATGGGAAAAGCAGGGTCAGAGGCCAGAGCCAGGGGTGCATCAGGAGGGGATTTTGGTGAGGAAGGGAGATAGGAGAAACCCACCCCCTTTTGCTGCTACAGGCCATTGAACCTGGCAGGAACAACCCCATCTCCATGCAAACATTTTCCAACAGTCTCACAGCATCCCCAGGCATCTCCCAAACCTCACCAGCATCAGGTGCCTGCCCTGGGGGCTGCACAAAACGGCTCCCAAACAGCTGGTGACCCCAGCCCGCACAGGCAGCGCAGTCCCACAGCACGCCCCAGTGCCCCACCTGCATCCTGGTCTTCACCACGTCCAAGGGGGTGTTGCCAAAGACGCTTGCAGCTCCAGCAAGGGCTCCAAACACCCCCGTGACGAATGGGTTGATGACCTTGTTGGGATCATCCCCTGGGAAAGAGGAGAGGTTGAGCGAAGGTCCCAGGTCTGGCTGCTGGTGGTCAGGGCTGCTGTTGTGCTGAGTGGGGGGCCCAGGGCCTTTGGAAGGCACCGTCCAGCAGCACCGGACCCCACAGAGCCCATGCAGCACTGGGGAGCTCAGGAAGGGAGTGGAGGTGATGCTCTAACCCTGGGACACTCCAACCCCACAAGCTGGGGCCTCCTTGCCCTGGCTTTCACCTTTCTTCACCATGAGAGGCCAAGCCACGAGAAGTGGAGGATGCGCTGGTGGAAAGCCCAAGTCTGGCTCGGGGAGCCAGTGGTGCAGCTGGGGTGTCCTGGGGGGACGGGGGCACCGTACCTTTGTACCAGTTCTTGAGAGAGGTCATGACAAAGAAGCGGATGGCCTGGTTCGATCCTTGCTTAAGGACAGTCGCGGTTAAGCCCTGGTAGGTCCCCTTTAGTCCTGCAGCAAGAGAGGGCATTGGAGCGGAGCACCACCTTCACCCAGGCAGAGGAAAACCTTCCCAGGTCCCAGCCTGCACCCGTTCACCCCCCTCACCCCACCAGCGTGGGGGTACTGCAGGGAGATGGGACAGCACTTCCCCAGGACTCACCCTGTTCCCGAACAATCTCCCGGACGCCGTGGAAGAAGCCGCGGTATTTGGGCTTGGGGGAGCACTGGTCATGGATAAACTTCACCTGTGGGGAGACAACGTGCTTGTCCTGGCTGAGGCAAGGGGGGATGCGACAGCCCCGAAGGGCTGATGATCACCTCCTGCCTTGCCTGGGGATGCTCCCAGGACCAGAGCTGACCCAATGCCAGGAGAGGAGACAGAAGCAGTCTGTGCCCATGACCAGTGGGGCATTTTGCAGAGGAAAACCCAGGAAACTGCCTCTGTGAGTGAGTTCTACAGGGCATGGGTTTTACAGCACAAAAACGGGTGACAGGATAGCTCCTGTGTGGGGGGCCCCTCCCTGGA